CTTGGGTGCCCCCTACCAGGGCCCTGGTCCACAACCCAGGCATGTGCCCTAGACTGGGAATTGAACCAGTGACCCCTTGGTTCACAGGGCAGCACTCAATCCACTGAGTCACACCAGTTAGGGCTCCATTATTATTTTTTACAAAGATTTTTATATTGTTCTATTTCACTCACTCCAGACAAACTTCACTCAGAGGAAACGGTCATGGTGACTGATTTGTCAAGAGAAGTTTTGTTTGGACATGCATTAAGGATATAACTTGATGTTTTCATAAAATACTGTGTACAATAGATCTTGTTCAATACTTGCTTTCAGCAGATGCTTAGTTCTAAAAGGGAGCATTAGTTTTTGTCTATGGAAAGTTAAGCACTTGATAACTGATCACTTGCAAGTATATTCTGCTTTTCACTTTGTGATAACTTGTTCCTCAATTCTCTGTAGCCTGGAAGCACACACTGAATTGAAGGTGTGGAAATACCTTATACTATATGCTATGATGTCTATGGTTAGGCACTGTGTAGTTTTCCTTGGTCCAGGTCAGCAACTTGTACTGAACCATGATGTTCGTTGCTCCCAGCTCAACGGGGCTGACTCCATGCCCCGGTGTCACGGTTGGCACATGACCCAGGCCTCACGGATGGAAGTACAGCTCTATCCTCCACTTGTGGAGACTGGCTCAGAGTGTGTGTGTGATCCTACCCAGGCCACTTATAGTTGGTGTGGGACAGAGAGTTTCTTTGCTGGCACTGCTGCGCTGGTAGAATGTAAGCCCAGAGCTAATATTGCCCATCTCTGCCATCATAGTCTTTCCATTCTTGTAGAAGGACATAAAGACAGTCTCTTAAAAAGGTAAATTGTACTTTGATAATACTTTTTTACAAAAGAAAAAAGGTATTAAAAGTGACTAATAAATAATCAGTCTTATTAGTAATCAAAGCAATACAAATTAAAATGAGGTATGATTTCCTTTGAAATTGGAAAATGACTAATTAATTGACACATTAGATGACAAATCTTAAGTGTTGGAAAGAATGCTGTAAAATGCTCAAGTTTATAGGGGTAGGAATTTCTGTCACATATTTTGGAAAACTACTTGAAAATATTTATCAGTATTATCTTTTTTATCCCAATAATTGGGAATCTATTCTAAAGAAATATCTCTAAATCCAGAAGAGTTTTGGGCACAAAACCAGAAGCAACTAATCCAAAAAGAAGAAAATATCAAGCAAATTAGAGCAGATAGAGGTGACATTTTAAGGTCAAGTGAAGACAGCAGAATACAAAATTGTCGGCTCCTAGTTCCTTAATGCTATCTACATATAGCACCATTATAACTGATTTACTGTAGCAGGATTTGTCTCTATATTACTTTCCTTTAACGTATATTAACAATGACTGTCATTCACTTCTAATGTCTTGCCCCCCGAGAGTCAAGTGCTGCTGCGCTGTCTCAGCCAGTGAGACCTAGCGGAGGAGACCAGGCTGGGCTCTCCCGCAGTGCAGGCTCTGCATTGTGCAGCGGGGCTGTGTATCCCCCCAGGGGCTCTCCTCCTGCCTCTGAGTGTGTCCTTGGTGAGTGGTTTTGCCTCCCAATGACCGCCAATGTGCACATAGTACTGGAGGACTGTTTCCAAGCCTCCGATGTTAAAAACTCAGGCTTTCTGAAAGTTTGAGGAGTCTTCAAGAAAATGGCAGAGGCAGTAATAAATAAAAATAAAGTTAAAAAGGGGGCAGAAGACTAGGGGTTGGGGGAAATCCTTTAACCTTCTGAAAGTAATATATAAACGTGATGAAACAGTGAACTTTTTTAGGCTGGAATTTTCTCTTTGTGTTGGCGGGTAAGCAACTCTTTGTGACTAACAATTGTAATATGTAATAAAAACAATAAAACACCCTACTAATACATTTGTCATACAATACTCTAGCCTACATAATGAAAAACTCTTTCTGAGAGCATAATTTGTAAGGCTCAGTGCTAAGTAGAATGTGGAGGCTCGTTAAAAAGCAGAGGGAAAGTGCCCTTAAAGGTACACTGGAAACTTTTTCCTTTCTGCCATAGTCTTTCTCTTAGCCTTATCATAGGGCTTTTATTTGCTATTTAATGTCATCCTAAGGAAAGTAAAATTGAGATATTAAATATTTAGCATGAATTTTCCCACTTATTTTTATATTGTGCCATGCCAATTTTAAATGCAACTACCAGAGCACCTTGTAAAAATAAAGGGGAAGTTTCCTGCCTCCAGGGGATGAGAAAGGACAAATATAAACCCACTCAGGCAGGGTGGGAGGAGGAAGAGAGGATGCCCCCTACCTCCAACCACCCATGCTGGGCTCCCCCATCCTTGTGCACAGGGGCAGGTGCAGGGCAGACCCTCCCAGATGTCTGGGGGCCTGCTGTGGGGGCCAGACAGCTACTGTTTCTGCTCCTTCCAGCCAGTGGGCTCAGACCCCCAAGGATCTTTAAACCTCAGGGCCAGAATATGCTCAGGATCTGACGGGGGCAGAGGAGAGGCTCTCCCCCCACACTGCCCCCCCCCCCAAAGATTGCACCACAGGGCTGTCAGCCCAGGGCTAGGCAGTGGCCACCACTCATCCCTCCTCCCCCACCCCAGTGCTGGGTCCAGGCTCAGGCCAGCAGGGGAGGGCAGCAGCCATCATGGGGCAGGGGAGGGGGAGACTGGCTGGTATTTGGGGAGCCCAAGAGTGGAGAAGCAGGCTGCTGGGAACCCCACCAGGGGAGGTGGAGGGAGATGGAGGAAGGCGGATAGGAGCTGAGGGCCAAGATCCTGGCACAGGTCCCATTGCCCCGCTACACTTCACTCACAGCATTTACATCCAAAGATAATATTACTAAGAATTTTAAGACAGCAACCACAGAGCATTAAACCCCAATTGGGGGGCCCTCTGAGCACCCGGCCCTGTGTGACCACACTGGTTTCACTGGCCCTGTCTGCTGGAGGGGGCGCCTGGGCTGGCTAAATTGTAGCCGTCTTCCAGTTTCAGGATATGTGGTTCTGGTCTAGGTCACATCTCTCTCTCTCAGCATGCAGATGGAGTTTAAGATTATATAACCCAGTTTAGTGCTTATTTAAAAAAAACATTAACCAAAGAAAACCAACTGGACACTATTAGACCCTTAGCATGGAAGAGATTTGTGTGAACATCACTTATCTTATGAGGGGCCTGTCTCCCCTCCTGGTTTGTTAAAGCCTTCCACCTTCATGCTCTTTAATCCTGTCTTCACCTTTCCATTGCCCAGTGTGTGACTGCAGTCTTCCATCTGTGATGGTGACAACATGGTATGTGAAGTCTGCTCCCTCCAAATGAGGGTGTCATCTTCTTTAGAACAATAAACATGGCGCTGATCTAAAAGTGTTTGTGAATTCATTAAGAAAGGAATTGAGTCATATGATTTTAAAGCTGGAATGAAGATGGGAAACAGCAGTGGGTTGCAGTACTGGTCCAGAGTCACATAGCTTATTACCGACGGGTCCAGGGCTGCACCATGCCTCCACACTCTCACTTCTAGTGCTCTTGATCATATGCGATACTCACTGCTAAAATTTTAATTAGCACCTACTTTGAATCCTCACAAGCTCAGAGCTAGTTGTAATACACACAGTGGGGAGATGACTTAAGTTATAGCTGAGAAATAAGAAACAACTCTGCAAGTAAGTTCTACATGTTAGAATACCATTCATTAGCAACTTGAGGTGGATAATAAAAAGAAAAGACTTATTCACATAATATAAATAATACTGCTATTTGTATTTTCCTGTTAAGCCTGTATTGCTTCCATGCAGTCTATTCTTTGTGGAACAGACACGGAAAATATAAATCCAGACCAGCTTCCCCCACCATTCTCCATCTGGCTGGCCGTCTCCCTCCACTGTCCATAATGCGAAGATTAACATCAATCTGCTGCTCCTCGAAAGAGAGACCAGTTGCTTTTCCCCATTGATTCAGTGCATTTAACTTAACACCTTCTTTGCTGAAAATCTATATACTGTGTTAAATACTCCAGAGCGTAGAAAGCTAATTGAATAAACAACAAAACAAAACAATCTCATTTTCAAGGAGCCCGGGAACAAGGAAAGGGGACACCAAGTTTATTTGCAATTTTGTTTAATCCAGGTCACTGCTGCCTCTTATTATGACTAATCAAAAGTTGGGGTGCAATAGACAAAACAAACACCAGATGGGGAAGCCAGAGACATGGAACCTAGTTCTTACTCAGCTTTTAATTAGCCGTATGACCTTGGGCAGGTCACTTAATCACACTAGATCTTCATTTTTTTTTCATCTCTAAAATGAGAGGTTTAGATGGGAAATAATTTCAAAGCTCCCTTCAAAGCCCCAAATCCCAATTTATGATTACAATATATTTATGTGAACCAAGTAATCATCTAATTCATTCCAGATTATGCCAAAATTAACTCATAATTAACTGATGTTATCCTCACTTTAATTCAGAGCACTGAATAAAATTGAAATTGCAAATTGAAATAAAAATGAAACAAAGCTTTTAGTGTTGTTGGTGAGGCTGGCAAGAAAGTCAGTAGTTAAGGTTCAAATGACTACTATAAATTGTTTTTGTTCAGCTCTTGCCTAATCCATAGTTGCTGAGTGCAAAGGCCCTACCGTTTCCCGTCCTTTTATTCTGATTTAAGGTACAAAGCGCAAGAGCGCATGCATGCAGGCGCACATGCCTGGGAGCGCGCGCGCTCTCACACACGAATTCTATTTTTAGGACGCAGGAAGGTAAAAGAAGGTATTTTGACCCAGGGCTCACAATTCACCTATTCTTTGCACCAAACGAGGGTTTCCTCTTTCAGCTGTGGTTAGCCTCGGTCCCTGTGTGGCGCGCTGGGCAGGCTGGTACGTGTGTGTATACAACTTTGCCACAGATCATGCCCAGAAGCCCCAAAGCTAAAACCTGTGCATTGGTGGTCCTGACCCTAAGAACCCGATTTGACAGGGTGCAGTACAGGAGAACTCACATTCTTGTAAGTGTCTTCCAGGTTGGGTTTTTTCCCCTCTTTTTTTTTTTAAACATTTCAGCATATCTTTGCTTTCCTTTGATTCTTCTGAGGTTTAAGGGTGGTCACTGGCAAAATTATACAAATAGAGTGTTCACAGCTCAGCAGTCCTTGGATCCACATTTGGAGTTCTACGTGGGTGGCACAGGAATAAATGCCAATAAGGAGCCAGGACAGATCTGTTAACAGAAATTAAATGACTTAGGATGCAGTTCTGAAAGCTTCCATTAAAAGGCCTGAAGCACTTAAAAATTATAATAGTAAAGTCAATTTCAAAATTGCTAATAGCTCAATTCTATTAATCTTTTCAAAAATATATCTTTTTATATGTCCAACAATTAGTGTTTTTAATACCTTTAAAATTAGAGGCAAGGTAGCCTTAGAATTGCATTTCATTTCATTAGATTTTTTAAAAATTAAGCCAGAAACAAAATTCCTTTGTGTTCCTACTCTGACTTGGGGTTGTGGAAACAGATTGGAAGGTGAGGAAAATATTACCCAAAACATAGCCTATGGAATACCACCTATCCTTCTAAATCTCTATCTTTCTATGGGATGTTATCCTGAGACAATCAAAATTAATTTCACTAAATTCAACATATTGACTTAATTAAATTTCCAGAATCCTAATTAGTGCAGTATCAATGATCTGTGCCCATCTTTCTTTTGTCAAAAATATTGAGCTTGGTTAGCCTTATGATTAATGAACAGCTTCCTTAAGATTTTCGCTCAAAACTGACAACGATTGAACAATTCACATTACATGTATGTAAAAGTACAGACATAGTTCTTTTCAGAAAACAGTCTCAGTTTTAGCTTGTAGGATAGCAACTATTTCAGGTTCTGCCTCTGTCTGGTTAGAGGAAGGTTAAATATCTGAATACAAAGTAAATAATTAATTTTGAATATTTTCCTTTAGTCCTTGAATCTGAGAAGTAACCGAGGTTGAGAACCGTCCTGCCTGGCTGTCAGGCCACCCATGCTGAGCAGCCGCTGAACCTGATTTCTCTATCAAAGCAACATTTCTCTTTGGTAGTCGCCATGCCCTGCAAGGACTGGCATTAAATGGTGGCCTCAGACAAGGCTTTCCCGGGACACGGTTATGTGTTCTTTCCTGCCTCGTTGCTAGGGTGATTATTCCCCAGGGAAAAGTTATTTCCAGAGGGATTATAAAAGATTTGCTGGCTGCCAAAGGAGGAATTTTGAAAAGAGGTGTGGTGCTGGAAGAAATGATCCTGACCACATATGTTCCCTGAGATCTCACGGAGAGCAAAGCTCATACAAGAGGCCCTTTAGAGAGAAGACGTTTTCTACTGTTTCTGCTACTGAAAAGCAATGGGGCCTGTCCCCATGGAGTTCCAGACTCTAGTTAAGATGGGAAGCAGCAGTCTCCTCTGCAAATCCTGGAAAGGGGAGGGCCTTTCATCTCTTCTTCAACAAGTCAGGAGGTAACTGACATTTAATGGGAATCAGTTGGCTTTATTGAATCTGTTTCACTAGAAGAAAGTCTACTCATAAAATTTTTACCTGTTTTGACTTTTGCAGCTTTAAAAAAGCAGCTTTGGCTTTTTTAAAGTCCTTCCTGAAGATGAGCTGGGCATGAGGAAATCAAACCACATTGTGACATTTTCTTTAATCTTCACTTAAGGATACATTTATTGATTTTAGAGCGAGAGGAAGGGGGAAGGGGAGAGAGAGACGGAGAGAGAGACAGAGAAAGAATGAGAGAAATATCGATGTGAGAGAGACACATGGATCGGATGCCTCCCATGCGCTCTGACCAGGGATCGAACCTGCAGCCTTTTGGTGTATAGGATGACACTTCAACCAACTGAGCAAGGCCAGGGCAAGCCACAGGCGACATTTATTGAATACTTTCCTTGAGAATTGCTTCTACTACGTCCTGTTGGCCCTCACAGTCTTCCTGAGAGCCACATGGGTTCTTTTAGTTGTGGAATCTGAAAAACTCAAGTGAATTGCATAAAGGCATCCCTCATAAGCAAGTTGGAGAAAGGGGTAAATAAAGGCCAAGACCCTTAATTCCACACCCTGTGGTCTATATGCTAAAATTCTCTGGCAGCAAGGCCTCTCTGGTCAGAAATTCCCCCTTTCCTCAGGGGCCCAGCAAAACTGAGTAGTTGGCTCTGTATTTTTGGTGACCTTCCTAGTTATCTATTCTTTGTAATAAACTACCCCAGGGCTAAAGATAACATAATATTTCATGGTTTTTATGAAGTAGCAATTCAAGAAAGGCTCAGCTGAGCAGTTCTGGCTCAGACTTTGTCATCTAGTTGTAGTCAGGCAATGATTGGCGCTGGAACAGTGGGTGGCAAGAACATCTGGAAGCTGACCACTTGTCTCTGTCTATACATAGTACTGGAGGCCTCTCCCCATGGCCTCTGTGTGTGGGTTTAACCTGGGTTTCCTCACAGCACAGCTGGCCTCAGGGTGGGACATCTCGGGGCCCCAGCACAGGTATCTCAGCAAACCAGGTGGAAGCTCTTTCTGAGGCAGAGAGGTGAGAGAGAGGCAGCTCCCCGCTCCTCTGATTGGAGTGCTCTTGTTAGGACCCCAGCTCTTAGATGTAATGTCGTTCCAGGAGTACGTGTCATACAGTAGGCCTCTTGCACAATTTTGCGAGGCACCAATTTTGGTGCCTCGGACTGGTGGGACTTCGGTGAAAAACGTCCCATGTATGCATTTGTGTATTATAAAGTGACATTTAAGGCTTTGTTGACAAGAGAAAGACAAAATGAAAGAAGGCCAAAATTGGGTGGTACTTATCCCAGAGAAACCATACCCTGTCACTCAAGGTTCCAGTTGGTGAAGGGGACACACCATGTATATTGTTATTGTGTCCTCAAGCAGCATCATACATTGAAATAAGTCCTGACAGAAGCCAGATCCTGTGCAAAAGCTTCTGAAAAGTAAAGTATATGGTACAATTAAGGGAGACGAGCTGCTCTCAACAAATCCTGTTTATTTGGAAAATATATTAATTAGCATACAGGCTAAGTTACTCTAATAAAGAGACTTGAAAGTACAGTGGTTCACATGAGATAAAATTTTATGTTTTCCACATATATCAGCTGAGAATTCATTGGCAATTTAGTGTGTGTAGGTTGTTCTGCTTCATGAAGTAATTGAGGGACCCAGGGTTCCTTCCATCTTGTTAGGCCTGTTGTTGTCATCTTCAAAACAGGAGCACCAGCTTTGTGCTGTGCATTTGAGCCTGGGCAAGGGAAAGAAAGATAGACTAGATAGAAAGGAATTCCAGTAAATTCATTTTTTAAAGGATTTGACTCAGAACTTGCACACATCACTTTTGCTTACGTTCCACTGGCCGGAAGTTAGTCCTACGCCTCTGGCCAGATACAAGGAAGGCTAGACAATATTATATGATGTTAGCTTGGCAGCCACATGTTCAGTAAAAATGTGAGATTTCTGTTTCCAAAAAGGGCAAGTGAAGATAATATCATGGGACAATAAACAGTCTGTCACAAAGTTATCATGGAGTTCCAGAATCTTTTTAGAAATGCTATTAGGAGGGATAATGACACTGAAGACATTATGCTCTCTTCACTCTCACTTTTCTCATCTGAACCACTGCAATCAATCTAGCTTGAGTATCGCTGGAGAATACCCAGACCAGAAAAGGGGTCCAGCTGAGGGTCCAAAGGAAAAGGAGCCGGATAGCCAGATTTATAAGGCACATTTTTACTTTGTGGCATTTCTATTAGACAACTTTGTCATTGATAGTGTTGAATAAGAAATCAAGAAACACATATCGGTTGACCACTTAACATAGGTAAAGTATTGCCTGGAGAGCTCTGAGAGATAAAAGGAACATTGAGATGATCCTTGCCTCCTAAGGGCACAAAGTTTGCTTGGTTGGACTCAGTGTTGATAAAGAGCAATGAGACCACAAAGTAACGATTACACATTTCTTGGATTACCCATTCTGTGCTCTATAATACACAGGAGGACCCTGGGACCCACTGAAGGTCCACCTAAGCTCTTTATTAGATGGGCTGCCTCATGCAGGCAAAAGACAAGAAAGCCAACGTCGTATTGAATGGTAACGAGCTGGAGAGAGAAGATGCTCTAAGAGTGTGTGGACAGGGACTGACAGCTCCACCCAATCCAAACCATCTTCTCCCTGAAACCCACTCATGGCTTAATGATTTCTGCAGAGACAAGCATGTGGAGTCCAAGGATGCAAGGCATTCTTGGAGTTGAAGTCCTCTTATAGAGTTTCCTAAAGAAGTGTATGTCACTTCTCATTGGAGGATGGATAAAGTGGAGAAAAGAAAGGAGGGATTCAGGATAAAGAGATAAAAATAGGGAAGTGAGAGGCATATTCTAGGACTAGCTACTTAGGCCTATTGACTGGACTGAAAGGTTGTGTAGAAATAAGAGTGGGAGGCACAAGGGCTGGGGTCTGTACTGTAAGGACCTCAACTATGCAGTCAAGAAAGCTCTTTAATGTGCTGTCTATTGTGGAAAGGAGCAGGGTGGGCTTGGCAGCAGATGTTTCCAAATAACATGCTACACCTAGACAATGAAGGAGCACCACTTAGCTACATTAGAATTTCAATGATCACTGGAAGTTGATAATCTTGGTGGTTTCTTCTGGAAGCTGGGGTGTACACAAAAGCTCCATTTTGAAGACCTATATTTAACTAAAAAAGCTAAGCATCTTTTACAGACTGGTCTTTGAATATTTGATCAGTCTTTGTTTATTCTTTGTTCAGTCTTTGTTTGATGAGCCTGATCTCACACAGTTTTCTTTGGGGCTTCCTAAATATGAGTGTCTTCAAGGGGGGCTCACTGACACCTCCCCAGGCCTGCCCCTGCCTCAGAGGAGTGTGAGGACTGTTGTACCATTACCAGTTTTTAACACAAAGCCACAAAGAGATGGACACTAGGCCTGCATCTTTGTGTTTTGATGGCTGAAGGCAGTTATGCCTTGGCACCAGGTGGCATTACTGTCACTAAAGATGGAAAAAGTGATAAAAAGCTTGTGTAGAGTGATTCCACTCTAAGTGACATCAAAAAAAGGTGGAGAATAAGGAGAAATTTAGGAAAGGAGCAGAGATAACAAGGAGCCTGCATTTCCAGCACCTTCCATAGGTCAATGAAGAACATGTAGCTAGATATTTGTTTGATAAAAACATGTATGTATATTAGTGTACTACCAATGCCAAGCACAGGGCCTGGTGCATAGGAGATTCTTCATAAATTATACTGAATATTTGAGTTAAGTAACTTATGTAAAATAGTTGTGGAACACATATCAACAAGAAAAATTATTAATTACATATGCTCTTGCTTGTAGTATAATCTTCTTTGTTCAGTTTTGTTTTAAAAGGCTCAAATTCTGAGGTGGAGGGAAAAGAAAAAATAAAAAGTAACTCTAATTTCATTTTTCAGAATAATGACTTCTAATATTTAGGTATATTTCTTACAGTCTTTTTTCTAGGTATACCTTTGTTCATATATAAATTTTAATTTATTTAAACCAACTGTGTAACCTAGAGAACAGAAGCATAAAGTAAAGAAAACTACATGGACTCACTAAGCTTTATTCTCTAGTACACTCCTAAGAGATAAACACGGTACGCAGATGCATGCCTGTATCTGACACGAGTCTCCACCGGCTTAATCACACATACTTGGAGCCTGCTGTATCAGCACACATACTTCATATTATGCTTGTGCTGCTTTTTGCTCTTGATTTTTAGCTCCATTTAATTAAGGTCTAATTAATATCAAACTAAAACAAAACAAGAAGGCAGGCAAAAACTCACAAGTTTTTTGAGGCCAGTCAGCTTTCTAATCTCAGTAACTATTCAGCATGTGCCATCAATCAAACTTGGCCTTCCCCAGTGAGGCTGTAACGAGAGAGAGAAGTTAGAGGCTCATGCGTTGATTGCCCCTGCATTGCTTATTTTGTTAAGACATGATCCCAGCCTCTGAAACAGGCTTTTAGAGCTACCTCCAGTCCAGAGATCTATGGTGAAGATAGCACTTGGGCCAGCAAAATATTTTAATACATTGGCATCATATAACTGGACGCTATCCTTGTTTTCCATGAGCCTTGGAAGGCTGTCCACATACTTGAGGAGTTTTGAGTATCCCTCACTCTGTCAATAGGCTGGAAAAATAATGGGCTTTTCTTAAGCATGCTATGAGGGGCTTCTATGAAGGGCACTTATTGTGTATTTCGGATATTTCTTTGTCCTTTTTCTTTCCTATCTCCTGCACAGGAGGTAGTACGATCAGGCGCCGGGAGGGGTGAGGGCGGCTGGTATGTGCTCTCCCAAACCCTCACCACAAGCCCGGCTGCCTAAGCTGAAGCAGCCACACAGAGAGCTAAGGAAACTTTAAAAACTTAATTAAGGGAGGAAAAAAAGCAAACAAAAATAATATTATAGTGGATTTACTGAGTGCTGCAGCCTTGCCAGGGAAACCGCAGAGTCTGCATGTATATGTTTCTTATATAAGACATATCTAATTAAAACAGGAGACGGGACTACAAGCTTTCTTCTAAGTTCATTTAAATACATGTTTATGTTGTGTTTAAATTCCCTGTGGGGTAATGTAATGCTGATCCAAAAGCATAAAAGCAACTTGATTAGGCAACTGTAGGCCCTTGTGAATACTTTTAGCCTTAAGTACTTAAGACTTAACTCTCCACCACACACAACAGCTATCTACCGAGGCCAGGCAAGCCCCAGACCCGAGACAGTACTTCCCCTGATGGACTGATTCACCTTCACTTGTGTAGTGTTCTTTCATGCCTGGGCTCTTCAACTCAAAGTTTATTATACTCCAGCCTTATTTCTGCTCTTCTGTGCACTTGATAATTTATGTTATCTTTTCAGGTGTTATTTTTTAAAATACTTTATTTATTTTTAGAGAGGGGAGGAGGGAGGGAGAAAGAGAGGGAGAGAAACATCAGTGTGTGGTTGCCTCTCACGTGGCCACTACTGGGGACCTGGCCAGCAACCCAGTTGTTGGGAATCAAGCCTGCGACCCTTTGGTTTGCAGCCCTAGTTCAGTCCTCTGAGTTACGCCAGCCAGGGCTCAGGTGTTATTTTTATTTAAAGAATAGTTATTCTCTTTTCACTTTTCATACCACTTCCTTTTGACAGTAATGAAAATATTTTAAATTAACTTGAATTTGGAGAAATTTAAAATGTTTACAAGTTGCCCCAAATATCCACTTTATACATATCTGAATAAGAAGTTTGGGGAAGGAAAATGTCATTCTGTTAGCTTATGATACAGATTGTGTTTTAGGAACTTGCTTCTTAAACTGTGCTCTGTGACCCGGCAGCCTCAGCATCACCTGGGAGCTTGTCAGAGATGCAGAAAGAAGCTCAGGGCCCTCGCCAGACAAGCAGAATCAGAATCTGAATTTTAATAAGATACCCAGATAATGGGTGAGCACAATACAGTTTGAGAAGCACCAATTCAGGGTCAATTTGCTTTCTGGACAAATCATCCCTGGATCTGAGGCCCATCTTCTTGAGGCGTTATACAGTTTCTCCGGTAGGAAGAACCCTTCCTTCAGCACCTTCGGCAGGCTTTTATGGACTCCTTAGGAGCCTGCTACGTAGAATACAAATAAAGAATCACCACTTAAGTCTCTCCTTTAGTTTGGTCTAAATTTAATTTATAATGATTCTGGACTATAACTAGATAGCTGAAAAATGGATTTATTTTACATTTATAAACATCTTGCAATTGAGTACTTGTAAACCAAAAAAAAAGTCTTTAATGTCATACACCTATACATGGCCCAGTAGAGCCTCTGTAGAATGTTTATTCTGCCACAGTTCTTGAGAAAGTGTAGACTGGACTTATGTTACTCTTTTAAAAAATATATTGTTAATATAGATCTAATTTGACTTCACCTTGAAATGAATATTTCATTACTGGCTGCATTTGTTGTGACATTCTTGAGAAAGGCTGTAATTCCATCATATATCCATTTTAAAATAATCTCATCTGTTTAACAACATTATTAGACTACCCAAAAGGCCATTCCAGGTTCAACTAAATAAAGTAATTAAAATAAATTTATGATTTGTTCTAAAACTTGAGCCTACTAACTAATTCTAAGACTACTGTGATATTTGCTGTTATGTTTTTAAAGAAGTACTAACCATTAATAAATATAAACATTTATTGCCAAGGTCTTATTTTATGAAGGAAGAACAAATG